CAATTGCTGGGTGGGTATTCATATGCTGGGGTTGGGGATGGGGAAGGTCTCCGCAATTGCTGGATGTGGGTGGTAAAATTGCCAGCTGCAAGATGTCTGATGATCCTGATAACCGCAGGATGTTCCAGGGAGATAGGTAGCTGCAGGATGCCTTCCGGACAAGATGTCTCCCAAGGGGCTGTCAGGCTAATCTTGGAAGGAGAATTTCCTTCTAGTCCCCGACGACCCTTTATGTGTATCTCTAAAGCACTAATAAATACATGAGTGAAAGGAAGATCAGTAGAGGAGAGGAGAGAAATGAGACTAGCAGGAGGGTGGTGGAGAGGAAAAGGAGAAGGCTCTGTGGACTGAAATGGAATAAATTAAATTCCATGAATGTATGATTTTGTCAAAATCAACCCAACTATTATGTATAACTACAATGCACTAATAAAAGAAAGAAAATCATAAAAATATTGCATTGCCTACTTCTGGGAGAATTAGAAGTTGGATAAGGAGTGGCTAGAGTATGAATCAGTGCCCACTCCACATAGACGCTGTTGGGGACTCAGAAGTATAAAGCAGGTACATGAAATTCTCTACCTGGCCTCCATGTACCTGCCTCACTGGATTGATGACTTCTCATCTGCAGACCTGTTCCCCGATAGTGAACACCAAGGCAATAGTCCTCTGCAGGTGAGCTGACCCAGTCTTTATGCTTTTGCCAGTTGAGTTTCAGTTTTCCAAGAATCTGTTGTATTTGTTACCTTATAGCAGCTCACTTCTATGGGGTGTTTCCAAAGCCTTTAACTTTGCTTTCGAAGGAATCAGTGAGCACTGTAAGGGTCCAGCGGAGCGTCGGAGGGAGAGACCACACAAGAGACCAGCTTCATGCAATTGCAGGGGGAAGTTTTATTGAACCAGCATGCTGGGGCTCAAGGCTCACTCAGGAAGGGAGAGCAGCCCAGAGCCCAGAGCAGAGGTCAAGCAGAGCTTAAGTACACTTTTTGGAGAGGGTGGGGGGCTTTGCATACATCAGAACAAATCATCTTGAGGCGCGGGAAAATTGAACAACAACCCTGAGCCATGATTAGTACATCTATTGGAGGGAACAGTCTGGGCAGAGGTGATTGGTCACCCCTGAGTGGGGTACACATTTAAACTGATTGGTTTTGTGGTCTGGATGCTTACGTCTGAGCTATTTGGAGCCCTTAGCTAATAAACAACCAGGGAATCAATGGAAATATTTACTGGGAAGTTCAGGTATTGTTCTAACAGCTACAGAGATTACAGGTTCTGGGGGTAGCAGAGGAATTTTAACAATACCTGGCCTATTATTATTATTTTTAGCCCAAGCCTTTCAATTTAGAAACCTTACAATCCCCAGTCTTTTACACTTTAACTCAGACTCTTGCAGCTTAGAGTCAGCTTAGAAATTTTACCTTTACAAGCACTCTTTCTTTTTTTTTTTTGTACTCATATTTCAGCAATTCACATCATATTTAACTAAATAACAATTAAAATAGTGAGTTCATTGCAAATAAAATACAGGAAAAAATGTTCTACTTTCAAAAAAAAAAAAGAGAGAGAGTTCTATTTTCTATGAGAACCAAGTTGAGTGCTTTGAAAAGACTCCAAAAAGTTGAATCGCTAGAAATATTAATTTCTGTTCAATAATATGGGGGCGAGAGACCTGTAAAGTGTTAGGGGGGAAACAACCCATAAAAATTCCAAAGGATTCTGCACTCAAGTTGCTTCTTCTTGTTACTCTTTAAGACTTAATGAAGCATTGGACATATTATGGCTGATGTGATTTATAGTAAAAGGAGAGTGCAGAATTTCAGCAGCAGAACTGTTCTTAAAGGCCACAGAAAAGTACTTGGACACATGCTTTAGGTAAAATAAGTTGCTTATTTAAGAAGCATTGTGAGGTTCATTATTTAAATTATTTCTTGCTTTCCCTGACTTTCTGATTGACCAGTCAGCTCCAGGCTCCAGCTAAGTGAATCCATTTCAACGGCAGTCAGCTCTCTGTATCCCTAGGTCCCACATTCATGGATTCAACCAACAGTGGATCAAAAATGTTGTTTAAAGTTGCACCTGGACATTTATCTTTTTTCCTCATGGTTATTCCCTAAACAATGCACTTATTTATATAGCATTTACATTGTACTAGGTATTATAAATAATCTAGAGATAACTGGAAGTAGAAGGGAGGATTGGGTGGGGTATATGAAAATTCTATGCTATTTTATGGCAGGGACTTGAGCATCTGAGATGTTCTGGAATCAGTTGTTTTTGGATACCCAAGGACAACTGTACTAGACAGAGGGACGAGAGGAGAGACAGTGTGGTTCTAGGGGATGGAAGACCAGATTAAAGATAGACACAGATGTCGACATAGACGCAGATATGCACATTCATAGAAGTAGAAATGTAGATATAAATATAGGTGTAGAAGACATACATAATCGTCTTCTTTTCATATCAGCTCATGAGAATTCTTCTACTGTCAGAGTAATTTATTCTGCTGTTTGTGCACTTCCTGTTTTACATTGCAATGTAACTATTTTCCTTTTGTTTTGGACACTCCCAGTAGAGATAAATTTTGATGAAGTGTAAGGAGCCAAGTTTGTTGTTGTTGTTGTTGGGGGTGGCCAGGGATTGAACCCTCAGCCCTTTCTTGTATTTTATTTAGAGACAGGGTCTCCTTGAATTGCTTAGAGCCTTGCTGAGTTGCTAAGGCTGGTTTTGAACTTGCAATGCTCCTGCCTCAGCCTCCCAAGTCACTGGAATTATAGGCGTCCCCCACTGCCCCCAGCAGGAGCCCAAGTTTTGACATCAGATGGACTTGGGACTTCCTCTCAACACCACCCGATTGGCTGTTGTGGCCTTGGGTAAGAATCATGACCTCTCTGAATCTGAGCTGTGTCCTTCAACAGGAATACATATAAAACACTGAGTGAATGGCAGCTGTTATGATCCCTAGTTATTGTGGGATGTCCTATTGTTCTGTACATTTCTGTTGATGGGTCACTTTTCTCTGGAGATCCCAATGGCAGAACTGAGTCTCATTCGACTTTGTCTTCTCAGTGCCCCTTATCAGAGTGAGAATGCATTGAGAGTTTGTAAGATAAATACATCATCTTGTACTTTCTTTGGACATTGTTAGTAATTTTCAGATCCTTGCCAGAGACTATGTAGCAGCTTTTTTGAATGTTTCAGGCAGGAGGAGGGGGAGGAGGGAAAAGGAAAGAGTTGGGAAAAGAGTGCAGGGCGTGGAAGAAGAAAGGACAAGAGGAAAGAGAGCAAGCAGGACCTGGAGGATCCAGGGTGTCTGGCCTCACCCTCCAGTGGCCTCATTAGCTCTTGGCATGTAGGGGAAAGGACGTGGCCATGGGCAGGTGCCTGGGAGGCAGGGCAGCCTGCTGGAGAAGAAGCTGCTCTCTCAGCTGGAACATCAAGCTGGTGCCAGAAGCCCCCGGGGGAGGGGAGGACAGAGCACTGATGGGGACAGTGGTGGAAAAGGTAATATTTCCTGAGTACCGCTGTGTTCTTGGCATGGTGCCAGGCACTTTTACACCCATCCTTATTTACTGCTCACTCTGACTCTGAGCAGTGAGGCTAAATACTGCCACATAGAGTGGAAAAGCTGAAGCCCAGAGAGGCTGAGTGATGTCTGTTGTCACACAGATAGGAAAGGCATTTGAAACCAGGTCAGGCTGAAGCTGGGGAGAGAGGTTTTATGGTCCACAAGACGTCTTCCAGTCTGTTCTTTTTGGGCAGAGCTGACCCAGGTTGTGTTGAATGGTCAACCTTAGGACTCCAGTAATAGAAGGGGCCCTAACTTCAGAGTTAGGAGCAGTCTTAGCTGATTTGCATGGCTATCGCAAAATACCTGAGACTGGATAACTCAGAGGAAACAGAAGTTATTTTATTTTCCTACAGGTTTGGAACCTGGGAATTTCGGGATCAAGTTGTCTGGTGGGGGCTGTTCTCTGTTTCTAAGATAGCATCCTCTGGATGGGATGTGTCCTTACATGAAGGAAGGCAGAAAGACAAAATGGTGACGTTTCTTCCACCAAGTCCCTTTATAGGTGTGCCTAATTATGGTCATGAGAGAGGAATCCTCTTGGCCTAACTACCTCTTAAAGATTCTACCTCTTAATATCACTCACTACTTTGGAGATGTAACTGGAATCAAGGGCCAGAGGCCTGACTCTGGGGATCCCAATGAGTCAGGTCCAGCCATTTCCCCTTAAAACCAAATGGAAAAAGTAATAGCAGAGGTTTGATAGTTATGTTGGAAAGCCAAGGAGAATCAAGCATTCTCAACCCTGTCTTGGTGGGTACTGACCTGAGCTCTGAGATACAAATAGAAATATTCTAGAAATAGTCAGAGTCAAGCAGTCTTGTTCAAACTGTGGTTTGGTGATCATTATGTCAAGATTGGTCAGCAACTTGTCATGATCAGAAAGTTGCTGCTGCCTGGGGAGAAGCTTCCACCCTTGCCATAGGCTGTTTATCCAACAGACCTTTTGTCCCTGGAATCCAGGGTGATGGTAGGAGACAGATGCAAAATGGGGACAGAGAGACCAAGCTTTTAATCTGCTTTCAGTTACCCATTGGGCAATTGCAGGTATTTGCAGGGGCCTGTGAAGAATCAGCAGAGAGAGGTTTGTTAGCCTATCCAAGGTCACACAGCCAGAATGGGCAGAATGGGATGTAAACCAGATGTGCCTGACTCTAAACTGACCAAGGATGCTGCTGCTAGTTAATAATGATAATGGTGTTTGTCTGGTCCTGAAGCGGCTGGAAGCCAGAAGTGGCTGGAAGCCAGAAGCGGGGTAGTGAAGAGTCACCTCCCAGGCTCAAGGGGATGAATGCTGCTCTTAGTCAGCATCATCTTTTGCTTTGAGACATCCGTGCCTTGAGATATTTCTATTATGTTTTGTTTTGCTTTTTGTATTTTCACTAGTGTTTCCGCTGGCTTTTCTGTCCCGAGGCGCTTTAATCACCAAGGGCTCTGTTCCAAACGTGCAGTGCATAAACAAGGAAGGAAATAAATAGTGCCTGCTGCTTCCATAACAAAGCCGCCCAGCGGAGCCCAGAGCCCGAGGCAGTGTGAACCCTAGGTGAGGGGGTGGGGGGACTTACAGAGGTTGCAGAGACTTGGAGATTTGGAGCCTGGCTCTGCCTGTTCTGCTGAGTGACCTCTCTCTGCACCTCAATTTCTTAGGATGCCAAATGGGGGAAAAGCCTGTTTGGCAATCGTCATAGAGATGGCCAAAGCCAACGCTTCTGCAGAAATGTTTGGGAAAATAGGAGAACATCATCAAGGTCGGATGAGGGAGCGATGATGGTGGTTTATTTCTCTTGCAGCTTAGTTATGTGATATTCAATTTGCTCCTGAAATCCAGCCGGGAAGACTAGGGAGTATCTTCTAAAGGAGGTTCAGAGGGGAAGTGTCCAGTGTGACATCCCTGAGCTGGCACTGCAGGCCACACCGTGTGTCTCCCAAGCCGGTGCTCTTTACTGCACTCCTCTGAGGAAATTCAAAGACAGCTAGTGCCTGAGGCTGTTCTTCACAAGCCAGAGCAATTCAATGTCAGACCAGTGGAAATCAGCAGACTCACAAAGCCCCAGCCCTGCTCCAGAGGTAAACACGGGTTGTCAGGGTGGGCGGGGCTTGGGCCTCCCTGGGGTGCAAACCAGACATCCCCAGGGAAACCTGGCAGCTGCAGAGGGGTGGGGTCTGGCCTGGAGAGAAGTGTGCCAAAATCAGGCACACGGTGAAAAGAGCAAGGGCCACCCAGGGGCTGGGGACAAAGGGTGGGACAGGAGAGGAGGGTGGGACAGGAGGGGCGCTGGGTTCTTGTGTGGGACCTTGGGTCCTGGAGTGATCCAAGCACATCCCTGTGTAATTAGGATGGCAAGCTCAGAAGAGGATCTCCCGGATTTAGTCTTGGCCTTGTACTTCCTAGCTGTGACCTTGAGCAATTCATCTCCCCCTTCTGAGTTTCTCACCCTTCTGAGTGCTTTTCTCATAGCACACCTGTCTCGGGCTGGTTGCGGACCTTGGGTGACTATGATATCATGATATAATAAAGAATATATACATTGGTTTCTGTGCCCCCCCCTTCCTGATGTAGGGCTTCTGACACCATTGTACACAGGGGTGCTAAGAGAATCTTGGGTTCTTGGTTCAAAGACCCTAGTTCCTGACCCAGATCTCCTGGTACCTTCTCAATTTCCTGGGTGATAGAAGCATCTTTTGTTCTAATGAGGCAACTCCTGGTGGGTTCTGGGATAAACTCAGAGAAGTTGCCAGGGAACCCACAATGTGATCACAGGGTTGAAATTTTCAGCCCCCCCCCACCTCCTTGAGTCTGAAGGTTGAAATGATCACTGTTTTACTCATCTTTGGAATGGTGTGAACAAAATACCCGACCAGAACAATTTGAAGGAGGGAAAGTGTATTGGGGGCTCAGATTCTGTAGATGGCAACCAGGAGGCAGAGGGGGACTGTCAGGCCACAGAGAAGATGCATCCTTCCAGGGAAGTCACCAGTGACCCACCTCCTGCGGCTATGCCTCACCTGCCTATGGTCACCACCACGTCAGTCCATGCAAACTAGGACGGATTGATTAGGTCATAATCTAATCATGTTACCTTTGCATCAACACAGGGGACACCTCATATCCAAACCACAGCAATCACCAATGGTCAAGGATTTACTCAATCATGCCCATGTAATGAAGCTTCCATAACTATCCAAAAGGACACGGTTCATAGAGCTTCCACTGCAGAACCTGTGAAGGTGCCATCAAGGGTGGCACACTCGCAGCAGGCAAGGAAGCCTAGAGCCCCTTCTCCCTTACCTCATCCTGTGTTCTTCATCTTCTATCCTTTGTAACATCTTCTATAATAAATGGGTAAACACAAGTAAGTATTTCCATGAGTTCTGTGAGTTGCTCTAGCAAACTAATCAAGCCCAAGGAGAGGTTGTGGGAACACTGATTTACAGTTGGTTGGTAACAACTGTAGATGACAAATAATTACTTTTACTTATTCATTTTTACTGGGGATTGAACCCAGGGGTACTCTCCCACAGAGCCACATCCTCATCCCTTTCTTTTTTGAGGGGGGTATGGGTACCAGGGGTTGAACTCAGGGGCACTTGACCACTGAGCTGCATCCCCAACCCTATTTTGTATTTTATTTAGAGACAGGGTCTCAATGAGTTGCTTAGCACCTCGCTGTTGCTGAGGCTGGCTTTGAGCTTACTATCCTCCTGCCTCAACCTCCTGAGCTGCGGGGGTTACAAACATGTGCCATCACACTTGGCCCCCTCTCTATTTATTTTATTTTATTTTATTTATTTATAAAAATCAAGAAACCCATTCATTTTTTTTTTAAAGAGAGAGAGAGAGAAAGAGAGTGAGTTTTCTTAATACTTATGTTTTAGTTTTCAGCAGACACAACATCTTTGTTTGTATGTGGTGCTGAAGATCGAACCCGGGCCACATGCACGCCAGGCAAACGCGCTACTGCCTGAGCCACATCCCCAGGCCACTATTTTTTTACTTTGAGACAGGTTTCATTAAGTTGCTGAGGCTGGCCTCCAACTGTGGTCCTTCTACCTCAGCCTCTCAAATCGCTAGGGTTACAAGCACGCGCCAGCCTGCCCAGTGACAATTATTTTCGGTGGGAATCTGAAGTGGAAGGCAGTCTGGTGAGACTGATCCCTTATTCTGTGGGACCTGACGCTATCTTCAGGTAGATAGTGTCTGAGTTCAGTTAAATTTTAGGCACCCAATTAGTATCTGTTGAATTGCTTGTTAGTGAAGAGAAAATCCACATGGACTTTGGCAACCAGAAGTGAAGCGTTCTGTGTGTGTTGAGTGCTGTACTGTATTCGTCCTTACCTGTAGGGGATATATTCAAAGTCCCCTGGGCCCCACCATGCTTAAAACCCCAGAGAGTTACCAAATCCTTTTCTTACTATGTTTTCCCTATACATACAATGCATACTATAATGACTTTCACCATTTCAAATTTGGCTTCCTTTTTGCATATTCAAATTATTAGCATTGCTACTCTTGCACTTTGGGCTCATTATTAATAAAATAAAGATTATTTGAAAACAAGAACTGTGATACCATAACAGTGGATCTGATAACCCCAATGGTTGCCAAGTGACAAGTATTGGTAGTATGTAGAGTCTGGATACAGTGGACAAAAGAATGATTTGTGTCCCACAGGGAATCATGCTAGTCAGAATGGTGTGCAATTGAAAACTTAGGAATTGTTTATTCTTAGAATTTTCCATTTAATGTTTTCAGACTACCATTGGCCATGGGTAGCTAAAAAATGTGGAAAGCAAACCTGCAGATGGAGGAGAGGTCCTACTGTATTGGGTGTGAATAGAAGGACAGAAAGTCAGAAACTATTTCTCTCTCTATGGTGAATGTATGGCATTGGGCCTGACTTGCAGTGTTACGAATTTTTGTCCCCAAAGCCTGAGTCCTTTCTCCTTCTCTCAAATGTGAAACCAATAACAATTGAGTAGTAAAGAAGACTTTTATTCTAACCCACCTGAAGAGGAACTTCTGGTCTTTAGGCATTCTATCCTCGAAGATAAGCAAGATTGGGGCAGGGCAAAAATCCAGCTAGGCTACCCAGGCAGTAAGACCAGGGTGGAGTGACTCAAGGAATTTCAGTTGTTATTAATGTTTTTTAAAAAAATACAGGCTGTACGTCCATTCACCTGTCTATTCACCTGCTCATATATATGTCCATCTGACCATCAGTTCTGGCCAGTGGGGTTTCTAAGATCAAAACTAAAGCAACAGAATCTCCTGCACTTGTGTTTGCTGATGCTGCCCCTGTTTGAGCTGGAATATGTGTTTCAGATCAGGGAGGGCCCTGTCAGGAACCTTCAAGAAGAGGAATAAGAAAATTGAGTGAAGGGATTTCCACATTTACAAGTGAGGACCAGGTTAAGCAATTATATAGATAAGGTTGCACCTGGGAAGTCATACCACCCTAGGTTTCAAAGGACAAGAGGAAGCCACAGCTGGAATCCTGCCAGAGCTGTGGCTGAGGGGAGAGATCCTCTGCAGAAGCCTTGGCCTTGGTAAGAACTCAGGGGCTGCCCAGCAGGGAGGGTGCAGAGGGGACTGTCCTGTCTTTTGTGGGTGCCTGATATTTGCCCAGCCAACTGGAATTGAGAGGGCAGAGAAGCCCAGCTGAGATCCAGGTGGGAAGGAGTGGATGATCATTAGCCACACACTCTGAACAGCCACGGTTGTGTGACCTGCTGCCTGAAGGACACCTGAGTTTCTATGGCATCATAGTCCATGGCTGTTTCAATGTTGGGGGGAGATGATGAGGGCTTCCTGCAGGGTGGGAGTCCAGGGATGAGTTAGAATTTCTCATGCTGAGAGGCAGACAGATCCTCGCAGAGCTGCCTGAGCACGGAGACAGAGCAAGAAGCTTGGGGTCTGGAGGAAGAAGTGGAGATTCTCAGTGTGAGGGGCGGTGTGTGCAAGAGGAGAGGGAAACAGAGGCCTACGTGGAGGTTGAGGGGGGCTTGGTAGTGGTCCTAGAACAAGCAGGGGAGGGGATAAAATTTGAGTCCCAACTCCTAGAGATTGATCAGGCCTCCTTCCCCTTTAAGATTTCATTTCCCAGTGAGAGCCATTTTTCAGAAATTAAGTTTTAATGACACAAGTCAACCTTTCATATATTCCTCCTGTCAAAAAAGAAAGCACTATGGATCCATCACTCCTGAGGCACAGCCCACACCGCTGCTGGGGTTTGAGGTGGCACTTCCAGTCCTTTGTCTAGCAATTTTTACTTGTAGTGATTGCCATTTTGCCCCCCCCCTCCTGCCAGAGACATATGACAATGTCGGAGGCATTTGGGCTGCAATTCTGGAGGTGGGTCTGCTATTGGCATCTAGAAGCTGTTAAACATCCTGAAATGCACAAGGAAACCTCAACCATGAATAGTTATCTAGCACAAAATGTCAGCCGTGCTGAAGTTAAGAAATTCTGGTCTAGGCCACCGATAGTTCAACTTTTTTTGCACTATTACTCCTCCAAGGAGCCTTTTAAGACATTTTCCTAATCATTTCCCCCACTCCGTCCCTGAAGTATTTTAACACTACAGATAATTCTATATATGTTCTCTATTAGTATCTGCTTTAGATACAGGAAATCTAAGATTTCAGCCTCCTGTTGGGTTAGACACTAATTAGGGCCTAGGAAAGCTTACAGTGAGATAAGAAGGTCTCTAAAAGAATGTGCTAACTACAGAAATGCCGAAGGGGTGTTGGCTGCTTCCCTTACCTGCAGTCCTTAGGAAAAATAGACAGTGAGTGATCTTGATTGTAAATGTACTCATAGAACATTTGAAGGAAGCCATCTGCACAGTGGGCATATGACCTATCCTAGCCTGTATTTACTCCCCTGTGTCATAGGCATGGGGTGGACTCCATTGTATCCCAGCCCATCATGGCCAAGGGTAAGTAATGAAATACCAAAACCTCTCTGTTGAGTCTCTCTTTGGGACTGGTAAACAGTACACTTGGTTCTTTGCAGCCCTGAGTTTGAACAACCCCAAGAATCAATTATTGGCCCTTTGGGGGGCAATACTGTCACCACTGAGAATTCATGGTACCAGTATGTGCATTTTGATATAAATGGTGCCATGCTGTATAAAGAGTTCTGCAAAGTAGTTTTTCAGGTCTAATATATATTTACGTATAGATAGATAATAGGTTAGCTCTGCACAGCATTCCACTACAATCAACCATTCCTTTACTGAAGAACATTTAGGTCGGTTCCAGATTTCCCCATCTTGAATACAAACAATGCTGCAAAATTCCTATGTATCAAAAGTCCTATGTAGCCTTTTTTTTTTTTTGCCCTTTTTACTGAAAAATTATAGTATGATATCAAACTAGGATGTGACATCGGTACAGTGAAGTCACAGAACATTCTACCAGCCCGGGGTTTCTCATGTTGCACTTTTGGAGTCATAACTGCTCCCAGCCCCTGCACTCCCTAACCTTTGACAACCACTAAACTGTTCTTCATTTATAAAGTTTTATCATTCCAAAGATGCTGCTTATAGACTCATTCAATATGCAATTGTTTGATATTGACTTTTTTTCTACTCAGCAAAATTCTCTGGAGATTCATTCAGGTTGGTGTGTGTATTAATAGTTGGTTTCTTGTTATTCCAGAGTGGTTTTCTATGGTATGGATGTACTATGATTGGTTTAACCATTTACCCATTGAAGGGTATCTGTATTGTTTCCAGTTTGGGTAAAGCTACTATAAACATTTTGCACAGATTTTTTTTTCTTTCTTTTTTTTTTTTGTGTGTAAAAATCCTAAGTTTTAATTCTCTGGGGTAAATGTCCAGGAATGTGGTTGTTGAATCATATGGAACTTCATAGTGTTGTTTTTTTTTTAATTTCAAAACTGATTACCAGAGTGATTACCATTTTACATTTCTGCTAGCAATACAGGAATGATCTAGATTCTCTCTCTTTTTTTTTTATTGGTTGTTCAAAACATTACAAAGCTCATGACATATCATCTTTCATACATTGATTCAAATGGGTTATGAACTCCCATTTTTACCCCAAATACAAATTGCAGAATCACATCGGTTACACATTCACATTTTTACATAATGGCATATTAGTGACTGTTGTATTCTGCTACCTTTCCTATCCCCTACTATCCCGGCTCCCCTCCCCTCCCATCTTCCCTCTCTACCTCATCTGCTGTTGTTCAGTTCTCTCCCTTGTTTTATTTTCTCCCCCCTTTCCCCTCACAACCTCTTATATCTTCATCAACATCTGGTGTTGTCACAATTTTATATTTTAGCCATTCCAATAAGTGTGTATTGATATCTCATTGTGGTTT